ATTGTGTATTTCTAATTAAAATATACAATTAAAATTTTAATTAAAGTAGGGTATTACAAGCAATGTAGGTGGCAGGGGAATGGCTGATGCTTTGAATTACGCACAGTTTGGGATAAATTGGCGTTTACTGGGTTTCCCACAGTAGCACTCTGCCACTAAACGGGCTGTCTTCCTGTTTTCCTCTCCTTGCTCTGACCCCTGTTCTCAGTAGTCTTTGGTCCTCTTCAGAGGCCTGTGGAGTGCTTCAGCTCTGTGATATAGATCCCTGGACCATGATTTCTACCAGCCTGTTTATAACTGTTCTCCTTGTGCCAGGAGTATTTTATAAGCTATTTTTCTATCTCTTGTGAAGAGGGATTTCTTTTCTGTGGCATATATGTTAGATTAAAAAGAAGGGTGTAAAACAAAAGGCATTCATACACCATAGTGCAGCACAGAATATAACAAAGTTCTAGAATCCGTACCAAGGCAATTAGAATCAAGACTTGGGGCCAGGTACGGTGGCTCACGCCTGTAATCCCAGCACATTGGGAGGCCGAGGTTGGTGGATCAGTTGAAGCCAGGAGTTTGAGACCAGCCTGGCCTACATGGTGAAACCCTGTCTCTACTAAAAATACAAAAAGTAGCTGGGTGTGTGATGATGCATGCCTGTAATCCCAGCTACTTGGGAGGCTGAGGCAGAAGAATCGCTTGAACCCAGGAGGCGGAAGTTACAGTGAGCCGAAATTGTACCACTGCCCTCCAGCCTGGACGACAGAGAGAGAGACCTTGTCTTGAAAGAAAAAAGATTCGGATTAATGGTTTCAAATATTCTTAAGAACACGTGACCACAGGTAGCTTTTGAGAATAGCTGAGGACACATGGCGTTGACCCTATTCTTTATGTTCAGTTACCAGGCAAAGTTTTTAGCGTTTAAAGACTTTTTTTTTTTGAAGAGCCTTAGCTTTGTCATTCTGGTCAGAACAGTCTTTTAATCATGTTGGTTTCCATAATGGTTATACTTGGAATTTAAATGGAGCATTTTATAAAAATTTTTTAAGGAAATGAGTCTTAGTTTGGGGATTATCAGTATGCACATTCTAAATTCAGAGAGACTTGAAAAATAGGTTTGGATGATAAGGATAAATGTTGCTTGGTTTCCAAGCCTTCCATTGTGGCCCATGACTGTTACTGATGAATACAAGAGTGGGAAAAGGGTAGGTTAGGTATTTTTTTTTTAATGTTTGCTTTGCTACTGCTTTTATTTTTAAAAACTGTGCAGTCACTTATCACCAGAAATATGCACTATATAAATAAGATGCAATTTATGTTGTCATAGGAATGAATAACGGCACAGAAATTCATATATAGTAAAAGTGGTATTTGTGCAAAAGGTACAGAAGTTTGAGATAATAGTCAGCCAAGAAGCATCTTTTGCGGTAAAAGTGTCAGAAGTGCCTGGTTACAATATTATTTGAGGCATATTGGGTACAAACTAGTCCTGGGCTTATATGTAATATGCCTGAAGTCTCAGTTCAGGTATAAACTAGTTGTTAATTGAGTGGAGAAGAGCACAGCATTTGAGAGTCCTGACTTTAAGTCCTGACTTTACTACTTCCTCCCTGCCTTTTTGATTTGTAGAAGCTGATTGACCTTGCCAAGCTTCAGATATCATTTCTACCTTGTAGGAGAAGAATCTGAATACCGAACATGGTTAATGTGAAGCTACAATTAAACAGTAAAATACCATGTAGCTAAAAGGTGAGAATCGGGAGGCTTGCCTATCTTGGTATCATCTGTGATGCCCTTAATATATTTTAAACATCCAATAAGTATTTGCTGCCTTGATTACAGATTTTCACTGTGAAGTAATTTAAAGTTCTAACTCCCTTTTGTTACAGTGCCAACATTTTAATACACCAACGACGGTAGGTTTAGAAATACAGTCTTTTAATAGCAGATACCCTCTTTCATATTATTTTGCTCAGGGTAATAATACAGTTTTGCTTACCTCAAACATATTGTGAGTGGCACTCATCCTAATAATACCACTAGGCAAGTAAGAAACTTTTTACAAGGAGGCAAAGTCATTTGCGGATAAATATTTCTGAGTATAAACAACAGATATTAGATAAATATTAGGTAAATATTTCTGAGTATCTAACAGATATTAGATATTTGACTCATCATAGCCAGTCATGATTGCTTGAGGGTGTCATGTGGAAGACCCATCTGATGGTTGGGTCCTGTGGTGGTGGTGGTGGTGGTGGTGGTGGTGGTGGTGGTGGTGGTGGTGGTGATGATAATACCTTTGGTTAAATAACATCAGTAAGTTTCTCATTCTTTCATTTAGCAAACATTTGCGTGTCTACAGCAGGCCCAGAGTTAAGAGTTCAGAGGCCAGAGTGGGAAACAGCTAAGTAGGAAGTAAGCAAGACAGGTTTTTCACTTTACCCACTGATCTAATCTCAGCGGGCACTTCTGTGCCCCAGACTGACCTCAGGAGGCCAGTAAACTGTTTCTTTGAAGTAATAGGTAACTTGAAGATTTTAGAAGAAACACATCCATATGTATCTAAACAACATGGCTACAAAACGGCAGTCATCCCTACAAGACCTTTCTTAGACCTCCCAGTAGCCCCGTTGTAGCCCCACCGTGGTTCTCACCATTAAATGCAGTGATTTCTCAACATGGCGGCTGTACGTTAGTCACCAGGGTTTTAAAAAGCTAGTACCACTGCTTCACGACAGACTGATAAAATCAGAGCCTAAGGTGGGAGGATCGCTTGAGCCCGGGAGTTCCAGCATGGCCCAGCCAACGTAGTGAGATCTCATCTCATATACATACATATACATATACATATACATATACATGTATACACACACGTATATGTATGTGTGTGTGTATATATATCTTTGGGAGTGGGATTTGGGGATCAGGGTGTTTTTGTTTTGGTTTTTTTTTAAAGCTTTCTGGATGATTCCATTGCAGTCAAGGTTGAGAATGCACTGGGGTTAGAAGCAGCTAAGATGCAGGAGGAGTAGTATCTGTCAGTAGAAAGGGCAATTAGACTATGCGGATATAATTGATTTATTTTGTCATAGAATAGCAGTGTGACAAAACTATTATATGTTTGTATTTCCCTTTTCTTTTTCTGTTATATTTGTAGCATCTTTTTTTATTTAACTTTAAATGAATACACTTAAAATCTTTAACAGTAAGCTTGTTATTTTTTTCTCATGTTATCTTTTGACTAGGGTGATGATCTACTTTCATCATTAGTAAGTATTTTCATCATTGCTTCAGCAACCTAGTTGGGTAGAAATTATCTTCATTTTAGAGACAAGGAAGCTGTGGTTCAGAGAGGTGTTAAGTAGCTTCTTCAAAGTTGCACAGCTGAGAGCCAGTAAACACCAGAACCAGTATTGAAATCTGTCTTCTTTCCACTGTAAGCTGGTTCTTTGAGCAGGTTTTGTTACATTCAGCCTATTTAATTCTGCTTAATGACAATAGGACCGCAACATACTTTCATAAGAGGGGCACAACGCATGCAGTAGACACATGATAAATGTTGAATTAATGAAAAGCTGAATGCTTAAAAATACAGTGGCTTCACATGTGACTCTTTACTAGAACTATAAAATAAAACCTCTCAATTTTAGTGTGAGATAAAATTAACCTAATTAGTTTTTAGCTCTCTATTCATTTCTCTTTAAAAAAAAAAAAAAAAACCACACAGGAAAAAATACATTTTGATAAGAGGGTACAAGCAGTGATTATCCAAAATTCTGGTTGTGGTCCCAACATATAATCACCAGTTTTCATATTGGGCACTATATTTAGCCTTCTCTTTTTGTTTACGTAGTAACAAGTAGCCACATTAGGATAACCAGAGTACCTGTCTTAAAAACCCACTTGTACCTACGGTGCCCCATCAAGAACAAATACCACACTTCCCTTTGAAATCGATGCAACAATAGAACTTAGTAAAAGCATTTGGACTGTGCTTGGGCATCTGGGAAATCGTCATTTAGTTTTGACTTTTGTAGACCAAACTTTTCTTATGCCCATTTTTGTCACCTGTATAATGTTTCTTGCCGTTTCAAACTGAGAAACTTCCTTCATTGAAAAATGGAGACCTTTGCAATTGACTTTTGTTATCTTTGCACTCCATTGATTCAGCTGCTTTTGATAGCTCCTATTTTCTGAGATTTAGGGCATCACTTAGCCAGGAGTGAGAGGGCTCAGATGATTGGGGGAGGGTGGCAACAACAACAAACACTTTTAAGCAACTTTTACTCCAGACTTTTTTTCTCCTGTTATTTTTGTTTATGTTCTATTTCTTCTTTTCCTATATGTTCTCATTGTCTTCGATGTCATCACTGTAAATGTTCTGTGTTCATATTTCCCTGTTCTTATGTAGATCATAAAACCCTCTTTGGAGAAATTTGATTGAGTGTATTTGAAGATAAGCCCTCCTCTAAAATAAACTTACACGTATACACGCCCACACATGGTTCTTCACCATTTTAGACTCCGACATAATTGTACTTGGTAAAGGCTGTAAATGTGTCAGGGTACAATTTACAGAACACTGACAGATTCTTGGTTGATGTTTTCTGTCTTCCCATTTTATGGCTAAGGAAACTGAAGCTGAAAAGGTATTGCCTGTTAAGCCCTTTCCATAGCACAGAGATTTATCCCCACAGTTTCTGGAGCTGAGCATTGTCTTGCTGCTGGTATACTCTGGCTCAGGCAGGGCATGTATGATGGAATCCTTTGGGGATGTGTGTGGGGTTTTTTTGTCCTAAACAGCACTGCTTGTTGAGTTCTAAAACTTGCAAATGTAGTAGACAGGAAACAAAAAGACTTCATGTATATTTCTAGAATTAATAGAGAGTTATTTTTACTGTTGAGGAAATATGCTGGTGTTAATGACAAGACCATATGCCAAAATGAAAGTCGATCTCTGTCAGCAGTGTAGAACTAATATATGCCTTTTTCCCCTTCCCTCTCATTAGGGCAGAGCTTGGGATATGGCTTTGTGAACTACATTGACCCCAAGGATGCAGAGAAAGCTATCAACACCCTGAATGGACTGAGACTTCAAACCAAAACAATAAAAGTATGTTAAAAAATTTTTTATATCTACTTGTAGAACAGAAGTTTAAAAAAATTAAGGTTTACTGGTAGTTTTTTCCTTTCTTCCTTTTGGGCCCATATAAACAGTTACCTGGGAGATATAGTGGAATTTTGGTGTTTGTTGCATGATGGGGGGAACTGTTCAAGAGTACTATATATAATCATTCATGTGTTCGCAAAGGGACAGAGCAACAACTCTCTTAGATAAATATTTTAGTAAGCCTATGGAATCAGATCTCCTTCCCTTATAGAGAATTACTTGCCCTATAACTTGGGGAAACCTTAGACTTGTTCTTCGCTAAAGGTCTGGGTATTAAATAAGCAAGATTTTGCGAGCCATGCAGTCAGTCACAACTTCTCAACTCTGCCTTTACAGTTTGAAAGCAGTAATAGCCACTACATAAACAAATGGATGCAGCCGTGGTCCAATAAAACTTTATTTATGGGCAGTGAAACTTGATAAGATGTTTATGTGTTACAAATATTATTTTTATTTTTTCCAAGTTAAAAAATGTAAAAACCATTCTTAGCTCATGGATTATACAAAAAGGTGGCAGGCTAGATTTGGTGCTTGAGTTGTAGTTTGTTCTAGCAAATTCAGCTTGCTTTGAGGAGACTGACTGGAGGAACTTACGTGACACAGGTTATTTTTTCTGTTTTTCTTTTTAAGACATACAGTGAATAATTGTGTAGATATTTTGCCGCTTTTGTGAATCTTTGAAATTCTTATGTAGATTCTCTCTGGAGAGGGAGCTAATCCAATTCACAGCGTAGATTTCTTTTCCTTTAGAAAATAAGAGGGATGTTCCCTCTAGCAAATTCTTAGTACATGTACCATCAATTTGCTCTCTCCTGCCCAGTGCAGACATTGCCAATCAATCATGGCACTCTTTCTCACAGAGTCTAGATGTGGCTCCCAAATATTTTTCAAAATAGTGTTCCAGACAACCTCTATCAATTGACTCAAGTGTGAACCTATTTTCCACCCTTGATTTAAGAAACCAGCTCAGGTGATACCCTGAAGTAGTGAGGGGGAAGTTAGTCAACGCTGACTGTGGTATCCATCTTGCTTAGAGACTCATCTAAAAGATTTTTGCTCATTTTTTTCAGGTATCTAGAAATGCAGTATCAGTTTTGTGCTTTAAAGTGGCTTTTTTAGAATTACCAGTTAAGGTAATTTATTAGCCCTGAGTGATTTTGACACATCGTTCTTTATATTTATTGGGCCCCAAGAAAAATGCCTACCACCCCTGTCTTATGTAAAGGAAAGTATATAGTGGTTCCCAAATATACTAAGATATGAGAGGTCCAAGAATTCTAGATATTTCTTGAGCAAGAAAATGTCCTATGAAAAGATTCACCAATCAGAAAATGAACTGGTTACTGTATATTATCAAAATGTGAAGGGAAAAATCAGATTTCCAGTAAAGTCTAAGACAAAGCCTTAAGTTTGCTTTGAAGTTTTTTCAGTCTGAACTACTTTTTCTGGTTATATTTCTCTGCATACTTTTTATTTGTGTCAGAGATCTTTTACTAGTACTATTAAGTAACAAGTGTTCTTTAAAAAGACATCCAGTGTTCAGTTACCTTCAGACCATGTGCTGTCTATCCTACAGCAGATTTTTGCAGGTTTCTCTACCTCAATTTATATTGATTTCCAGGGGTGCTGCTAATTTGTCCTAGTTCTGAGGTCCTGAGTTGTGGTTGAGAAGAGAATGGAATAGATGGTCAGGATGGCTCATCCCAGGAACTATCCTTTTCTCCATTCCAGAAATAATTACCCTTATTTCATTCTAATGTGTCAGTTATTTTACTATATATCCTCACTGCACTAAGATCCTAAAGAAGGTAGAAATGCAGGGGAAAATAGGTCTCCATAGGAGAAATGCCTGTGGCCTTCAAGGAGACAGTTGATGACAGCTGCTTCCTTTACTGTTCATAATCCAGCCTTTTCTCTTTGGGGCCCAGCTGCTTGGGCTGAATATGTGGAAGAAAGGACAGTAAAGCCTTGTGGCTTTTATACTGTGACATCAATTTCTGATTTTCTGAGATGTGGGTCAGGGTAATGGGTAAACAGCAGGCTACTACTTTCCCCACCCCTATTTGATTCCTGTAAAAATATCAGATAACAGCTGGTATCCTCAGTTTGGCCCAGATTTGTCCAACAGGCAAAGCAAACCATTTCCCCCAAGTATATAGCATCCCCTTTGCCTGTTTGTTCTTTCTGTGTTTACTTATTTCCATTAGGCAGATTCTGTGTTCCTGTACAATGTCTTGAGCCAAGTTTTTCTAGTATTCACAGCTTTAAGAATGATTTGGAAGTTGAGTTAAACCTTTTCATTTCCTGGGATACTATTCCATAAATAAGTCTTTTCTCTCCTCTAGTCTATACTGGTGGTGGTTGTCAGCACCACTTTCTTACAAAGCACCACTTTACTCATGTTACTGCTCACTCAAAACTCGATGGTGTTTCTCTACTGTTTTACCCTATCGTCTGGCTGAGCTTTGTAGCAGTGACGCCAGTGCTATTGCTGTTCTCCACTGTAGTCAGACTGGCTCTTTAGTTGTAAGCTGATCTTATTCCCAATGTCTATGCGTATGCTTTTGCAACTCCTACTTCCTGGTATACCCTTTCACACTCGTTTTTAGTTTAACTGTGGTCATCTCATGTTTTGGAGCCCATCTGAAGGAATTCTGTCCTTCAGCTTCTGTCTTGCCAGGTTATTCCAGCTCCTGCTGAGTTCTGCCGTCTTTGAAGTCTGTATTCTTTACCCTTGAGGAATCGCAGACATTTTGGAATTACAGGGGGACCCATATGTAATTTAGGCTTAAGCACTGCTCTCTGTCCCCAGTCAGAGTGGAGATCTTGGTGGTCATACAATTTAGCCAAGACCAGGCAGTTGAAGACAGAGCTGTGACTCAGAACAAACCCTTGTCTTCTGATCGTTATATCAAAACTCTTGCCAGGACACTGTGCTTTACTTTAGAAAGGTACAGAAGATTGGTTAGTACGTACAAGTGTTTGTGTACTCTTAGCATTTAGTATGCGTTTGGTAAAATTCCTGGTTATTGGGATATTGAAACAGTGAATGAAGTGCTGTGAAAGGTGGTTTATTTAGCAGTTTCTCCTGGGGCTCCATAATAGCATTAGCTCAGTAGGGTTTTGTGCAGTAGTTGGTGTGTTGAATAAATGACAGATATTCAGTATTTCCGTGGTGAGTGAAGTCCCTCAGGCTCTGTGAGGACCTAAAGCAGTTGTTCCCAAACTTTGGTTGCATCTTAATCCCCAGAGAAGTGGGTTGGAAATGCAGTTTCTGGGATCCACTTTAGATCTGCTACATCACTGTCCACAAGAGAGATTCAAGGTTCTGTTTTTTATTATGCTTCCCAGGTAATTTATGACAGCAAGTCTAAGGCCTAGCACTTAGGAATCACCAAAAATGTTTGGCGGTTCTCTATACATTTGGTATTTTTTGTGCAAAGTTCAGTTTGTCTTCTAGCATTTTACGTTAATAATCCTCCTGTGGTTCATTCTGTTAACCAAAATATTAATGTTTTTTCTTGAGCATCCTGGGTGATCATTTAGCATTCAGAGTTCAACATGGTTCACCAGCCTTTGCTTTTAAAAAACATGGCATAGAAATTGAAAACAACATACTCACCTCATAGTAGGATGCTGTTTAAGTAGTAGCAGATACAGGTTAAAGTCTCGAGGTAGTAGTTCTCTTGTCCTAAGGGTCACTTTTTTCCCTGGTTAAGGAGATGTCCCAGAGGCATACCTTGCTGGTGAAATCACATCATCCCTGTACTACATGGGAGGCAGCTGTTTTGGGTTAAGCCTGCCCACATTGTCCCCCAGTGTTGACATGGTAAATAAAGTGTGAATATTACAAAAATGTTTTAAAATTCTCATTAGGGAGGGTAATGAAAAGGTAATATGTGTGTACAGTTCAGGCATGGGAGTGGGGGAGTAATCTCATGGAAGTGTCAAATTGTATGCTGATGAGAAGAGAGGTTTTTCACCAAAAGCCTTCAGGTCCCTATGGGAATCTTTCCTTTGGTGGATTATACATGAGATGAGTGGTTGTACCTACTGAGTTCAGTCTTCATGCTCTTTCTCTACTCATTTTATTTTTAGGGGTCTTAAGTATTGAAAAAATCTAGATAGTATGTGGAATTTTTATGGCTTAAAGCTAATACTTTTGACTTGTTAGGTTAATAGTGTCAGACTGAAGTTCATGATTAGCAAGCTAAAATCATTCATTTCCAAGAATATGTATAAACTTCCTCCCTCCTCTGCATAAAGAGCTCTGGATAGATGATTATCACATAACAGTGAAATGGATGCATGGCTCCCAGCATCTCTCTCAGCTTTTCCCTTCCCTACAATGGGCCTACGATGCTTTATTTTTCCTGAAACTGGGGTTGATTTATCTGGAGAGAAGGAGCTATTATCTCAGGGAATAGAATGTTTTATTGTTATTGGTAGGTTCTAACCCCTCAAAAGAAAAAAAAATTCTGCCTAGAACTACTACTATAGAAAAACTGCCCGATTTTTGTCTTAATTTTCCTTGATCATTCAGCTATAGACCAGGCTAAAATTTACCTTTGCTTAAAAGTTATTAATTCGTATACAATCATATGAAATTTCTTATACTGAAATAATCAAACCACAATTTAACCACATTTGGAAAATTCTATTATAAAAATGAGAATATTATAAATAGTATTATCTATTTGTTGTGTTCAGTTTGAGTGATTAAACAAAGCTAAGAAACCTGTATTCTAAGCTGCTGTATTGCCATTAACTTTTTGTTAAATTTATACCTTTTTCTAACTAGTTTATCCTTTTCTCATTAGTAAATGTCATATTTATACTTTTTTTTTTCTGTTTAGCATGAACTTGACCCTTAACATAGGAGGAATATAGAACTACATTTCTGAAGTCTTACCCTGTCTAAATTACCTTACTAAAATGATTTAACTGGCTGCGTAATCTTGGACAGAGCTTTTAACCATTTAAGTTTCCATTTATATCGTTAAAATAATTTATTCATCACTGAGAATGTTCATTACCTGCCTTTTAGGAGAGGAAAAAAGCTTTTGATGGTCTGCCAAGTTGCATATTAAGAAAAAACGTAACTTTTTAAATGAATTCATGTTTATTGTATAGAATGATTTGATGAAAAGCAGCACCCTCTCCTGAAGAGAGAATAATTTTAACTGCCTTCCTCTTTCACTCTTGCAAGTTTAACAGCCACTGTAAACTTCATATTGGGATTTGAGTTTCCAGTTCAAACTCCTTTTGCGACAGGATTATTGGGAGTAGGGTGGTTTTTCTTTATCATTATCATTTGTTCTTTTATAAAAGTTAATACTGACCAGGAGGAAATATTCTTAGATGCTGTGTAAACGAGTCCCCACCGTAAAGAAAGAGAGGGAATACGCAGGCAGGAGTGTAAGTAAAGCTATGCTAAGGGCCTGCCACCCAGTAGGTCCTCTGTTAAAATACCTGCAGCATAATTTTGTGTCTGAGATAAGTGGCTCTTTTAATAGTCATAATGCTGAGAGTTCATGGCTTTTGTAGGGCATGGAAAGTTTAAAGCAGTTGATAGGGGAACCATATAGAATTTGCCCAGAAAGAAAGCAGGATGGGAGGCGAATGTGGGAATGAGCCTGAGTTATGGGTTATAGAAGTGTGTTCTGGGTGCGCATGTAAAGGCGTTGATGTTTTGTTCTGTAGGTGAGGATGGGGCACCGGAGGGTTTTGAGCAGAGCAGTGTTGGGATTGACTTTGAGTATTTATTCGGAGAGGAAGGTTTGCGTTGTATTTAAACTCCACATCTTTCTGAGCATTTCAGCTCACCCTAGTGTTTCTCTGGCTTGTGTAGTTTGTTATTTTCTGTGATAGTACAAAGGGTAGAAATTTATAAATCATCTTCTACAAAGTACTCCTCATTTAAAAACTTGGATATATACCATTATTTCCCTTTTACCTTGAGCAGCTTTGGAAAATTTAGAAGTAATAGGTTGAAGACCAGGCCTCAAATTAATTGACCTACTTATGAGGTGTTAGCCTGATAACTGTCATTTATCTGGACCAAAAAAAAAAAAATTGAAAAAGTAGATACCAGGAGTGGGGTAAAAATGGAAACATTGAGTAAATTGTTCGTTTGCCTTTTAAAGAATACAGACTGACGGAGTACATGTTTTCCTAACTTCATTGTTAACTTGTGTTCTGGAAATTTCCACAGCCACATGTCAAGTTTGAACAGTATATTACGTCTTATTATCAGCACTTCTTCAATACATTTAGATAAAATTCTTCTATCTATATTGAGTCCCATTTACATAGTCCTTACTTGAAGTGAGAAGTGACAGTTGACTTTTTTATTGTTATTTGTATAATGCCCTTCATGTGTTTTGTAGAATTCTCTCTTTTCAGCTTTAATTTTTTTCATACAAAAAACCCAGAAATTTCTTACTCACCTAGTGTGATCTAGGGAATGTGGGTAGGTAGCCCAAGTAAGATCCAGAGCTTGAATGTCCTGTCCTCAGGCTGCTTGTGTTACATCTGTTCCTTCTAGCTACCTCCAAAGTGAGAGTTAATTGGAATTCCCAAAGGGCAATAACTAGGCATTCTTCCAATGGATTTCCTTTAGATTTTCCCACAGTTGTTGGAGCAGAGGCAGAGCCTACAAAGAGGGAAGGATGAGGAACAGGGTTCCTGGTGGCAGTGTCCCCAGCTTACTTCCTGCCTGCCAGCCACACACTGGGTAGTGATGGTGGAAGAGTCTCAACAGTTGACTGAACCCATCTTTATTGGAATTGATGGATCATTTTGTTACCTAAGCATGCTCCACAGGGGTATCATAGCCCTTCATGGCAGATGCTTAAACTTATGCTAACTGAGGTCTATACCAGAAAACCCTGGCTCTTTCATTTCTGTAACCAGCATGGAGAATTTCAGGTTTCATGAAGACCTTCATTGGAAACTGCCTCCTTGTGAGTATTGCTTCTGTGTAAGGCAGGGGGAAAGCCACAAAAGTAATAACTTGTATAGGTTTAGGAAATTGTTGCTGTCTGTGTGTGTGTGCACGTGTGGAATTGAAAGGTTCACGTGGTGGGGATGTCATTGAATCTTACTGTCAGAAATTTGAGTCATTGAGGCAGGACCCTTATAACAGCTCAGAGGTCTAGAATGTTAAGTGCAAAATTGGTTTTCTAGTAATAATGAGGCTGAGGAAGAGATTCAAGCAAACCATGTGCATCGTGATAGAAGACACTGAAAATAGTTGAACCACATGTTCAAATCTGTTTGAGTTTGAGTTCTAAGATAACAGTGAGATAAGATAAATTGAAACTGATCGGGATGGCCAAAAATCTTTTCTACGTGAACATCACACTGCTGGCCCCTGTTGCTTTACTTCTCCACTGCTTTTTAAGGGGAATGTGGAGTAGGGCTTTTCTTTCATTTATGACCTGGGAAAAGTGGTGCTAGGTCAGTTTGGCTTCAGTCTATTCTACCACATAGCTGGCTTGCAGAGTTAAGATGATTGTGTTAACTTCCCAAGAAGGAGCCCTTAATTCTTTGCTGTATCTACTTTTCAAACAAATTTCATAGGATTATTATCTTTTTACTGTTTTGAATTCATGCAGAAACAGCAGTAGTCTCTGGTAGGCAAATACTTAATCCCGTTGATGAAATAAAGCTCAGGTTAAAGGGATTTGTTCAAAATGAAATAGCTAATAAGCACTACCGGCATCAGAAATGCAGTATCATGTTGGCTGATGCCGTAGCTTTTGTTGCTTTCTTTCCATTTCACATTATTGATGTTTAACTGTTTTGCTCAGATACCACTCTAAATAAACCAACTAATAGAGGCCTTAATTTGGGCCTTTGAGTGTCTTTGTCTTGAGACTTTCTGGACCAGATCTCTTAGTGCCAGGGAGTGGAGCTGTCTTTGCCTAGGAGTGAAGAACTCTGCCCTCTTTCAGGGTGAGCTCTTGAGACAGACAGACATATAGTTTGAGAAGAAAACCGGACTTGGAGGTCATACTTAGCAGATAAGTGAGTTAACATTGATTCAGTTATTTCAGTTGTAATGAGCAGTGAAATTATTATTATAGTAGTAACTTCCTGAATTTGTTTTTTAGGCAGCTACCCATTCTTCAAGAATATTTTTCTGATAGGTTCATGTAAGTCTTAGATGCTAGTTTAAAAGTTACAGAAATGTGCATTAACATTGGTCTCTCTTTAAATTTCCACAGACTCTTTAAAAAAGCATGGATGGTACATTTTCTTTTACTTTCACTTCTGCCAACCTTTCCTATCATTACTTTTAATGTGCGTTCTCAGCTGCATATACTACATTAGAATTACTTGTGGATGTTTTATTTCCAGAAGTGTCTCGACCTGCTGCTTTTGGGCAACGAGACAGGGCTGTACAGTTGACACTTGAACAGTTCTGGGGCTATGGGTAACAGCCCCCGTATGACAAAAAGTCTTAACTTTTGACTCCTCAAAAACCTAACTACTAGTAGCCTACTGTTGACTAGAAGCCTTATTGATAACGTAAACAATTATCACATATTTTGTATGTTACATGTATTATTACATGTTGTGTTCTTACAATGTAAAGTAAGCTAGAGCAAAGAAGATGTTAAGAGAATCATAAGGTAGACAAAATATATTTACTGTTCATTAAGTGGAAGTGGATCATCATAAAGACCTTCACCCTTGTCATCTTTATGTTGAGTAGGCAGAGGAAGAGGGAGGGGTTGGTCTAAAATCCCATATTAAGTGCACCCACACAGTTCAAACCCATGTTGTTCCAGGGTCATCTGTATTTTGAAAACAGTACAGGCAATCTGATACTTGTCTGCCTCCTCTCCTTCCTTCTGAGAAGAACTCTTTTGAATGCTGCAATAGGACTTGGAGGTATAAGTCTTGGATTTGTGTTTTGTTCTTGGTTTCTTGATCAGGTGAGCTGCAGGAAGGACAAGGAAAAATAGAACAAGCATGTAGTCCTGGAAACTGATAATTCAGAAAAAGTTTAGTTTCCAGTTTTGTTAAATGTCTGTCTAGAAATTTGTACCTGCCTTAACCAAATAACCCTATTCATATTCCTAGAAAGAGTCATTGAGAGAAGCTCCTAACTTCATAGAATCAAGCACAGTGGCCTTTTTGAAGAGACTAACCCAGTTGAGCCACATCCAGCCAGTCTGGGTTCTTGGAAATAGCTTTGGATGAGTTTCATGGGCTTTATTTTACGTCTGCATTTTTGCATTTGCAGGTGATTTGTATTCCTAAATGCTTTGCTTTCAGGCTACCTGGCATTTGTCTTACTTATAACAATCAGTGGATGGCAAGGAAAAGGGCTTGGCATCCGTGATTCTTATGAGCTATCTAGGAAATCCTCATATGCCCATAGTTTTGAGGATTATTTCAAATGCCTTTACACAAGAGACTGCCAACACTTTAATGTTTATCTGAATCAGTGGGATGGGGTGGTTGATAAAAATTGCAGATTTCTACACCCCAACCAAGACTTAATGAATCTGAGTATCTGCAGAGAGAGACTGAGGAAATTGTATTTCAGCAGCCACCACAGGTGATTCTTAAGCAGGTGGTGGCTTGACTTGAGAAGCACTGTTCAGTGGATCTTAATGATTTGCACTTGGGTAGGTCTGTGGTGCTTATTTTAAAACAAGTCTACTTGTAAATAATAGTATTTTCATTTGTAGGTTACATCAAGCTATCTTGAATGGCTGGGATTCACTAATGTGTTTTTAATGAATATAGTGCTGGATTTACCTAAGAAATAATATATACTCTCACATACAATTTGCTCATTTTCAAAGCATTTGTGTGTCATTAAATACTTCAACATCACAATTATGTTAGCATAATA